AAAGAGTCTGTTGGAGATGCTCTAAGTAGTAATCATGAATATATTGTTGAAATTAATATTTAATATTGAATGAATATATAAGTAATTTATAAATTTATTTTCAAGCACAGGCTTATTTTAAATTTTGTATGCAAGAGATACTTTTATTTGGAATTATGCTAAAGGCCTACTTGCGAGTTTCGTCGTATCGGTTATGAGCGTTTTTTAAAGTACCGAGTTTGAGCGTTTGTGAATGGATCGATTTTGAGTAGTTTTAGTAGTTGTTTTTAAAACCGTCCAACCTATACTTGAAAGTTTATTATCCACATATTCTAAAAAAAATTTGAAAGAATAAAATTACGTATATGTCGCATATGAAATTTTTTTACTCATAAGTAATATTTTACTTATAAATAATTTGTTTATATATAAGTTAATATTTAATTTAAATATTTATTTAAAATTTTAAGTTAATATTTTTTATAAGTATCTTTTACAATTATAAGTTAATTTTTTTTACTTTTAAATAACTTTAAGTGATTTTTTTTTACTTGTAAGTAACTTTTTACATTTTTAAAGAATTTTTTGTCTTATTAGTAGTATTTTTATTTTTTAATATTTTTTTACACAAAAGTGATTTTTTACTTATAAGTAATTTTTAATTATAATGTAATTTTTCTTATCTTATAATTAATATTTTACTTATAAGTATTTTTTAAATATAATATAATTTTTTAAATTATAAATATTTTTTTAGTTAGTATATTTTAATTTACAATTTAATTTTGAACAAAATAGATTTGTTGGAAATAATTATTTTATAAATGGTAAAATTAGAAGAGAATAAGATAAATAGCCAAAACTCGCTGATTTGGTGGGTTGAAAGAACAATTCAAAAATACATTACACCAATTTGGGTGGTTTTTAAACCATCCAAAATCACTGCCCAAAAAACTAGCAAGCATCAATTTTTCCGACCCCTTATAAATGGTGACACACAAAACCGGTGAAAAAACTCCCAAGCAAGCCTTAAGTGTGCGTTCCATGGATAACATCTTGGTGTACATTGTATGGAAATTTAAAAAATGTTGGCCGAAAAAATTTGTTATTTTTAAAACTGTAGAGTCATATGTCGACACGTAACATAATGTCAAAAATGATGTAAAATAAGATGTACATGTAGCATGATTGTTTATTTGAGCCTGTATGCCATAATGCACTGACCTACCCACTCTATATTCCATGTTGACTTGACAATAGTAGTCTACCAAGTTAACAACTATCGAACCAAAAATACAATTTTTAAATAATTGATTTGAGTTCACATGGACCCGTCATTTTTTTTTTTTTTGGAAATTGAATCAAATCATTTAAAAAATGATTTAGTTTAAATTTCAGTAGCTAAACATCTCAACCTCAAGATTGATCAAATGCATATGTTATAACTTAAAAGAGTTAGACAAGATAAATATTTTATTTTATTTTATTGCGAGAACATATGCAATTGTTAGCCATTTAACGATCCCAACCTATGCTATCTTGTACTAATAAAAAAGTTAGACAATATAACTTTCTCATATTTTTTAATCACATTCTCCAAAAATCACTATTTAAAACTTCATTTTACCCAAATAATAGTTGTTCAACATGGGCTTAATTTATTTATAAGAAGAGCAAGTAACATTTTTACGGGTAAAGTCGGAAATAAATAGCAAATTTTATTTTAAAAGATATTGTGTTTTTACTTAAAAGTAAGGAAAAAAAAAATCAAATTATCCTCTTTTGAGACAAAAGTTGCTCATATATTTTCCTATAAGCTTAGCCAAACAAGCACTACAATGTTAAAATGGGTTAAGAAAGATAGTAAAATATTTAAAAACCAAAAACAATTTTTTTTTTATTTTCTCAAAAATATAATTTATACTGTTCGATTTGATTTGCTACTGTATCACACGTCAATTTTTTATGATGTGTCTATTAAAACTTATGACGATGAAAGGAGCACGATGACGTAACTTTTAAACGCGGTCGACCGATTTATACCTCTACTCTTACGTGGGAATAATTATTTTAACTCTAGCAATTAGTAAAAAAAATTGCCGACAGGATACGGTGAGTATATCCTTTACTCTCTTTCATCATGTTTCATTTTTATCCTTTCCTCAATAAAGTAATTACTTTTTTCAAAGAAAAGTAATTGTTTTGCATAATTCATTATTTTTGCCATTAAGTATTCCGCGAACCCCACTGCAAGGCAGAATCTAATTTCAGATTGCCTTTCCGTTTTCGAGTTTTTAAGAAGACTCTGATACTCGCAATATTTATTTTCTTCGAATTGGCTAGATGGGATTTTCGCAAATCGGTTCAGAACTTCATTTCAGGCTGAGTTCATGAAAAGTGGTGACTCTCTTGGGGTCTTATTCTCATTATTTTTGCAGGTAATTGAATTGCATATAGCTGGGCTACGCAATTTAATTGTGGAAAAGGGTTTTTGGTTGTGATTTCTGAATCAACAAAAAACATTATTGTGTCTGGGTAACTATAAGAATGTGAAACTTGTTTATTGAATGAGATGGATTATTTTGTTCTTGCAAATGTTTGAATGCTTTCAATTATTGTTACAAGAAGATTCCTGGTTAGTGGATAAAATAGTGTTAATTAGGAATTAGTATATGCTAATTGGTAGAGGTTTCATCAGTTCATGGTTCTTATTATTGAATGCTAAGCTATGGATGTCTAGGCTGTTGAATAGGTTGCATCGAAAGGGGATCTGGGAAATGACTATGGTCAGCAAAACTCGGAACATGCTTGAAGGGCTGGTAAAGGAAGGGTCTTTCAAGTGGTTGACCAAAACACAGAGTCCATTCAATGACGAGATAGATGAGATGAGAAATTCTCCATCCGCTGGGAAGAACTGGCTGCATGATCTCTCTCCTGTGGCAAATGTAGTGGTGCGGAGATGCTCAAAGTTCGTTTTCTGCTTTATTTCTCTTATCCATTTTGTTATTCTAGTGTCGCACTTGATAAAGGAAAGTTAAATTTCTGATACTTGCAGTCTTATCCAAATGTTTTGGGCATATTATTAGTAGAATTTTGACACATTATATTATGTGTTCCCTGGAGTATCCTGAACTAACTTGTTTGTGTGCTGTTTTTTGAATGCAGAATCCTTGACATCTCCATGTGCCAACTTCGAGAAAACTTTGATGGAGAGGCTTCTGATACTTTAAGGCATCCATCAAACTTAGCACGTAATTTTTTGGAATACTGTTGCTTCAGGGCTCTCGCTCTATCTATTCGAGTATCTGGTTATCTGGATGACAAAAAATTTCGCCGACTTACATTTGACATGATGGTTGCTTGGGAGTTTCCTGCAGCTGCTAGCCAACCATTTCATAATGTATGTATTGATAGTTTGATTAACATGATTTCATACCTAAGCACTAAGCAGCATTTTTATTACCATCAATTTCACTGTAATTTTTGTTTAAATATTATTATTATTATTTTTAATTTTTTTTGTGCAAACATACTCTTGCATTATTTATGCTATGGGAAATGGCATTTTCTAAGAGTTCTCTACAAGCTATAAAATTTGACATGGGCTTACTTCGAATTTTTTTATCCTCCTAGAAATTGAAATTGTCCTTGAAATAGTATTGGCTTGTCTGTCTGACTCATATGTTCATTGCAGATGGATGAGGATGTTACAGTTGGAATCGAGGCTTTTTCTCGAATTGCTCCTGCAGTTCCCGTTATTGCCAATGTGATTGTCAGTGATAATATCTTTGAGGTGCTTGCAGCTTCGACCAGTGGCCGGCTTCACTTCTCTGTCTACGATAAGTACCTTAGTGGATTGGAAAGGTATTATCTATCATTACAGCTTCATTTCATGATCAATTTGTATTATATGGGAAACGACTATGGATATGCATTCCTTTCTCTTAGCAGCTTTCTCACATCATGTTTGCTTTTCAATTGCTATTATTTATTGATATGGTGGATTATGTCTATGAATAAAATAATAGGTGTTAATTATTTCTTGTTTGTTAAACGTAAGTACTGTTGATAGATTTCCAATCTGCCAGTCTGGTAATGGCCTTTGCAAATTCCACATATGGTAATCTATACAGTTTTGACCATGATTACGTCTTTATAGCTAGAACCTAGGTGCCCAAGATAAATCAGGATTGTTATAGGCTATCTCAGCCTTAAGTTTTACAGAATTCATGTCATTTTATGCTGTGGATCTTACATGACTAGGTGCATATCTACTATGTTCAAACACATACACAAATTAATTTTCTTGTCCTACATTTGGTGGGGAAGGTGGAACAACATATAGGTAGTTGATAGAGTCGTAATTTAGGAAGTAAATCTTGTATTTTGATTGATTGGAAAAATTACAAGTATATACATGATAAAAAGGAAAAAGAGAAATTGCACTTTAGTCCCTAACAATTAAGAAAGACTACAAGTTGGTAACAAACAATATATATTTCAACTCTCCCCCTCAAGTTGGTGCATAGATATCTCGCATGCCCAACTTGAATGTCATTGTATAGAATGGACCACTGGCAACTCCATGTGTCATTATATCAGCTAGTTGTTCCACCCTCTTGATATATGGAACCTCTATATTTTTGGAGTCGAGATTATCTTTGATGTAGTTCCTATCAAGTTCAACATGTTTTGTTCTATCATGTTGCACAGGGTTGTTTGCAATTTTAATAGCAGCAGTATNATTTTCATGCCTTGAGAACAATAAAAAATCCACCATGGTCTGGAGCAAAATTTTTAAGTTGCTTTGAGAGGATTGGCATCCCAATGTTTGACGAAAGTTTAAAGAGCCTTACTCCAGCTAAGTGATACTATGTCGTATCTTGCACATACTGATGATATGGGTGTCCATATAAGTTTGAGGGTCTAGAACATGATATTACGTATGAGGATGTAATTAAGTGCTTGTTTGGTAAAGATTAAAATCCAATTAAAATTGAAAATATAGCCGTTATTGGTCCCACTCGTCTAATAAAAGTCAACAATAACGGCTAGTTTTTCAATTTTAATCCAATTTTAATCTCTACCAAACACGCCCTAAATTTGATTATATTAGGGAATACTATTTGGATGGTTGAGTGATTCGAATTTGATGGCGTGGACATTACTAAAGGATGATAGCTAAATTGCATTTTGGCAGGATGGCATTGTTGTTTTAAGTTCAGAGTTGCTTCATCAAGGGATTTCATTAAGATAAGCTAGCAAATACAAATTGTTGGAGATGGGCAGGGCATTCCCAATTTAAAATACTATACAATATGAATAATTAGGTAAGTCGAGAAGATAAAATGATGCAAAAAATTGTTTCGGCACTGTATTGATCATGGAAGGGTCAAGCTCGAGGATGCACCCTTGGGAGTCTGATGCAAGAAAAATGGGCCTAATGAGGCCTTCACATGCCTGCTGGAGTCTTTTACTTATTATTTAGTTTGTATTTAGATAATTAGATTTTGTATGCAGGAGGTCCTTCTTTCTTTATTTTAACTGGCATGTATTACCAAGTCTTTTATGTGTCTCTTTTATGTTAATCGTCCAGTGTCTGTCTTTGTTGTGTTACTACAGCATTCATTTTTTCCTGTGAATAGTTCTTATCAATTTGTGCCAGCAGCCTCTTTTAGTTTCCAAAAAAAGTATGACAATTTGAGCTCTCTTTGGGTTTCAGTAATGTCCTAGAAGCCTTACTTTTCAAATTTATTCTACTCTCTCTTCATTTCTTTTCTATAGAACAGTGTAAGAGCTTTCTCTGGCTCAGTTGACTGTGTACAGAGGAATTGTGAGGATCATAGGACTCATGAGACAATGTGACATTTAGTTGGGGTAGATTACGTTGGTATGTCCTGTGTCAGGTTGTAGTAATAGCAACTTTTAATTACTGTGTAGTAAGAGCTATGTTACTTCACTACATTGGTTGGTTGTAGTGTTTCTTCTGCATGAAAATTGCGGGAAAGAGGCAAATTTTTTTTCCCTGAGTTTTCAGCACACTTTTAGTTAACATGAATTACACAGAAGTGAAGTAAAAGTGTCCATGTGATGACACTGGATGAATACCATTTTCAATCCAACCCCATCCATAAGCAAATGCAAAAACAACAATAAAACTATGACAGATCAGGCTAGTAATGGTTTTCCTTCTTATCTCTTTTTCTTTTGCTCCCTTATAAATTTACTTAGCAGTCTCTTTCTAGTTCTATTTTAATGGTTGGGCAAGTAAGAGTTCTGCACTTAACCTTCATTTTTTTTTTCCTTTCCTCATTTCATTTTTTGCTGGTTTTATTTTGCAGGGCAATACGAAGACTGAAGAGTCAATCAGAATCATCCCTCCTTTCTTCCCTGCGATCAGAAAGAGGGGAGAAGATCCTGGAAGTGGATGGAACAGTCACAAGCCAGCCTGTTCTTGAACATGTCGGAATTTCAACATGGCCTGGTAAGTCATGAAATTCGTGTACTGAAGATAGGTAACATAGTGAAATGACAAAATGTCTTCTGTTATTTTAAACATCTATTGACATGTCTATGATTGCAGGTCGGTTAACTTTGACAGATCATGCTATATACTTCGAAGCTCTTCGTGTTGTTTCTTATGATAAAGCAAAAGTATATGATCTAGCTGATGACTTAAAGCAAGTTGTTAGACCTGAGCTGACGGGACCATGGGGAACCAGGCTTTTTGACAAGGCAGTCTTCTACAAATCAATTTCATTGTAAGGCATGGTGTACACACAATATTTTCCTTGATAATTCGACAACATGCACCATCATTTTTATGTCCGCTATATTTATACCCACGTTTATATTTGAGAAGCTTATGGATTCTGTAGTATTCCTTTTTTAGATCGGAGCCAGTTGTAATGGAGTTTCCCGAGCTTAAAGGTCATACCCGTCGTGATTACTGGTTAGCTATTAGTCGTGAAGTTTTATATGCTCATAGATTTACACGTAAGTTCGAGATCAGTTCTCTGGAGAAGGATGAAGTGCTTCTGAAAGCGATATTTGGGATTCTGCGAGTACAAGTGCTTAAAGAAATAGGTTCTGCAGCCCCTGTCTCCTTTGAGTCTCTTCTTATGTTCAACATTTGTGATCAGCTCCCAGGTGGGGACAAAATTTTAGAAAAACTTGCGAACATGTCTACAATGAGAGAATCAGACCGCACAAACTCGGCTAAATCTGGAAGTGGGATGTATTCAATTTCAGCTTTAGCAATCGCTTCTAATTTGGGATTTGCATCAGGAACGAGTTCTAGTGTAGCTAGTGAGACAGGATTAGTTGTTGGTGAAATTGTTGTTGGAGAGATGACTCCTTTGGAGAAAGCAGTTAAAGAAGCTAGAAGCAGCTATAAAAAGGTAGTGCATGCTCAATCAACAATAGATGGAGTTAAAGCTGATGGAATTGAATCCAATTTGGCAGTGATGAAGGTATTTGCCACATACTTCTGTAAGAATTTATTTATTCTTATGTAATTTATATTACACAATGAATTTGAAAGAACGAGAGATTGCAGGTTCTCCGCTGTTCCGAATTTTTGGTATAGCGAATTGATACTGATCTCACCTTCTCTCACTATATTATTTTTTTGACAAATGACTGGCTGCTTTAGCACAAATCTTTCAAATTCTATATTCTATTCTTCATTGACACATTATTTTTTTGTTTTTCTTAGTGTGATGCTACTGTAATTTTCACTAGTGTTCACCTGCAGTAGTATTTAATAGTCATGTGTAATTGCAGGAATTGCTTTCTCCTCTGATTGAAGTTGGAAATTGGCTTCTTGCTTTGCTTTACTGGGAAGATTATTTGAAGTCCTTGGCTTTCTGTTTGGTTTTCACATATATTATCTGGAGGTGAGAAACTTTTCTTTAACTTTCAACTTTTTCAATCTTTTTCAACTTGGACGAAAGATTTCTACGGAAGGTGTTCTGATTCCTCCTCTCCCCCCTCTCCTGTGCTTTGTTGAATTTCTTCGGACATGAAGAAGAGAAAAGTTCCTGACATGCACTTTGATAATATGATGTCATGACATTACATATCATTACTGTCATAACATAATATACATAACTGTCAACATTATGATCGTTATCTTTATCCTCATAAAATCACATAATTCATTATCTTCTTGTCAGGACAAATCATTGTAAATATGATCCATCATAAAACAGTGAACTCACCACTAAATACTGGATTATTTTAATTCTGGCATTTGTACCATAAAATAGATATTTATAGTTCCCATAAAATACTGTATCAGGTATTAATGTCATAACTATCATCATCAAAATTTTCATTTAAACGTCATAAAGCCTTACCACCATATTAGGGTCATCACCTCAGTAGAAGACTCTCAAGGAGTAAGTTAGGCCTAAGAAAAAGAAATTACAGGGACTATTGTCATTGACAAGGCTGTGTAGTCGCTTTAATTTTTCAACAAGATGACCATGAGAAGAAAACATGCTCAGCGACCCTAGCTCTGATTCCTTGATGAACCCCTCCTTTTATAGATTAAATTGTTAATGGAGCGGCGAAATATATTTATTATATACATATACATCTGCAATAAACAGATTGAGTACACTTCATGAGAATAGACAATCCATCATGAACCTTGATGCAACAATCAGTTATTTAGTTGAATTCATGTAATCGTACTTCAAAATCATAAAATAAACAAATAGGTAGTTCAAAGGACTTCTACACAAGTATATCTAATGAATATTTTCAAACTATCTGTTAAGATAGTGAAACAACTAAACAAGAGTACCAAACATATTGATAACTCTTAAAGAATCTTCTAGGGCATATTCATGATTATGTCTTTCAGGTCTTCCACTGGAAACCTTGCTTCGCCAAGACAAACACTTCTTTCTGGGTGAAGGGCACGCCACAGACCCAATTATCTTATGATGTTAGAAGAAATGGAAGAAAAGATGTCGAATAACTAGATACCTCATCAAAGAATCTTCTTTGGAGACATTTTTATTGAGCTCTATTAGCTAAAATAAATCATCAAAGATCTCTTAGATTCAACCTGCCGTTTTTAAGGAAATAAATTGTGACAGCTGAAACTTTTAAGAAAATTTGGACAATGATATTGGCAGAAATGCATTTTATATCTGAACAAGGATGTTAGTTTGAAGGATACAATAGATTTACAGTGTATAGTTAAATAATTGAAAGGAAGCACAGATAAATATTACACACACACACACACACACACACACACATATATATATATAGGGAGAGTTGGCATATGTATATTTTTGCAAACATGTAGCATGCATAATTGTGAGTAGTTATCCATGTTGACATTTTTGATTGTGCACATGCATGTGTACAGTAGGTGGAAGAACAACGATAAACTTAGAATAGAACACCAAATAAAATATCTGAAGGTTATAATATTTGTCTCGTCTAAAATATAAGCCAATATCTTACATTTATGTCTATTTTGGTTTACATACATTTTTGGTGCCAATTTAAAATTGTATCTTCTCAACTAAGATGCCATGACTGTTCTTAGGGAAGCCTTCTGCTGAAAATGGTAGCTATGATGAAATATCTCTATTGCCTTGACTGCTGTATTTTCATGAGCACATCATGCAAATAGATGTCATTTTCAAAGAGTTTGGAAGAAACTTACTTATGGGGATTCTGAGGAGAAAGAGACCTAATTAAAAATTGACTGTCATTGTATATATAGTAAGGAAAATAAGATAAGATTAGACTAGATTCAACTGGTTTTATAAGATTTTGATGTAGTTAAGACTTATTGGAAGTTCCCTTAGACTTAAAGTTGTTACAACTATAAAATGGGAACTGTGGTTTAATTTATGTTAGTCTGTTTATCTTCTTCTTTGTCTTCCCTCTTCGTGTCTCTCCTCTCTTTTCCTTTGCCTTATTCTGTTTCTCTCGCCCAATTTGCGTACTTAGCAATACTTGTTTTGCAGAGGTTGGCTAGGCTATGCCTTTGCAATATTGCTCATCTGTTTTGCAGCCTTCATGTTGGTTACCCGTTGCTGTGGCCAAGGATGGCCAGTCGATGATCTCAAACTCAAAGTAATAGCACCCCCTGCAATGAATACCATGGAGCAGCTTTTGGCTGTTCAAAATGCAATTTCTCAAGCTGAAGAGCTAATCCAGGATGGAAACATTGCTCTTCTCAAATGCCGTGCCTTGCTCTTGTCAATTTTTCCACAGGTATTGTTTAGTGTGTCGATCTTGCTTGCCCTTGTCTTTTTGTTTTGGAACACTCAATTTGTTATTGGTAAATTATTTCCTCAATAACGAGTGCCATACACTTCTGTTCTTAGAAGTTCCCTCTCATTTATTTCAAGTGCCATACACCCCTATATTAAGTCTGGACTTGACCCACTAGTTCGATGGTGAAACTAGTAAAATTTTCCCATAAATCAGTCCAGTTCTAGAATTGGCCAGAACCAGGGCAGAAACATGTTAGAGCCAACTAGCCAGTACTTTTAAATTAAATCTAGAAAGATACTCCTGCATTACATTTATTACGCAGATATTATTTATACTTACAACATAGATTTAATAAGCTATTTATTTTTGGGACAAAATAGCCACCCAAATACATTTCTTTAGTTAGAGTACTTGTAAGGAGAGATCTTGTTTGTGCTTCTGAAAGAACTCATGCTCCTCTACTTGCTATTTGAATTACATTTTCTCCTTCATACTTCACTCCCTAGGGCGTCTTCATTTTTCCCTTTAGACTATACAAATTACCAGGTGTGTTGTCCCTTTGTGCATCTTGTGTTCCCTTGCAGGGATTCCAGTAAGAATTGCCTTTTGATAATGAGAAAGAAAGAAAAAAAATTGGATGACAGTATTTCTTGTCTATAATGCAAAATTAGATCATTTGAAGAAAAACAAATAGGTACAGCAGAAATAGATAAGAAATTGCTGCCATTCATGTCACGTCGAACATAAACTAGAATACAAGTCTTGACAAGCACAGCATGTACACTTCAAAAGAGTAAAAGTAAAAGTCATTTTTAATTCTAGGTACTCATGTTTGGATATGTTACTTTTTCTTGCTCAAGAAAAAACTTATTTATTTTGAAACTCATTCTTACCTTATGGTTAAAATTTGAAACTTATCACCAACTTTAACCATTCAAAGAAATCGTTTATTCTAAAAAGGATTTATTTTGTCGTAGTAGATTTTTAAGCTTAGCAGGCTCACATACTCAATTGTTGTCAAATCAAATTTTCTTTATATACGCTTCTGATACATGGAAGTGGTTGCATTGTCGTAAATCTAATTATTGAGTTGTAGCAAGATGAAATGAATATCTATAATATATTAAATATCACATGAAGTGGGAATTATTTTTTGGACAATTTAACCCTATTACAATTCAGTTATTTCAATAATACCTTATTTTTCGTTTTTCAATATGTAATAAATACTACAATTTTTTTGTCGTGTATGAATTTCGTATTATTAATTCTCAATTAATTAACATTCATGTTAATCTAGATTCAATGAATCTTAACTCGATAGATCTACATGAATCTAGAGATATTATATATGAGTTTATTCCTATTCAAGTATCTAGGAATTTTAATGAGTGTTTAAGTTCATGTATTAACAATTAATTCTTATGTACCCAATGTAGTATAAAAATGTTGCTCATTTGTGGTATTTTACCATCACAAAAAATCTGAATCATAATATTTATCCTAAATCTTATTTTCTTTAGTTAATTTGAGACTCATCAAATCCCCCGACAAATTGATATCAAATATTACTTTATTACAGTACTTATAAAGTATTTCAGAATAATGTGCATTACACGTTCAACTCTGACTAGTGTTCAGAAATGTGACATTTATCTTTTATCACCTATGTTTCTTTGTGCTTTGTGGTGAAGCCGTATAATTTTGTCTGCCTTCGGCAAATTGTTAATTAATTCTACACTAATGTGTACATTGCTAATATCCAGGCGACCGAGAAATTTGCAGCTGCACTCTTGGCGACAGCTTTACTGCTGGCGTTTTTACCTGTAAAATACATTGTTCTACTCACTTTTCTTGAAACATTTACAAAATACTCGCCTCTTAGGAGAGCCTGCACTGAGAGGTGGACAAGAAGATTAAGAGAATGGTGGTTCAGCATACCGGCTGCTCCCGTTGTTCTTGAAAGAGTCAAAGAAGACAAAAAGAAAAAGTGACTCAAATGTTCGTTTGTTCGTTCTACTAACTATCTTGAGGATATCTTGGGACTGTAAATTTGTAAATATGAAAGTAAATATAATCGTGCCAAGTAATTTGTGTGTTTCCTATCTATATAGATCTTGTGTACTTTTGTTTCTTCAAATGGATGCTTTGTCTTCAATTTATCCTTGATGTTGTGCGAGAGAAAGTTGCATATATTTTGTGCAGGAGACTTGGATATCTCAATGGTCTTGCCTCGGTGTTCTTGATTGGCCATCTTTTTTACTGTCTCGCCACTAAAATTTTTATACATCACTATAATTTTGAGTCGTCAAAACTTTAGTGTTAGTCGAGCTGTGCCGGCAAATGTGAACTCCCGGGCTTTTTTGATAATTCTGTTGTCTAACGTCCTTGATTTTATGATAAGACCACAATGGTAACAAGTAACATATTTGGTAATAGAAAGGAAAAAATAGGATTTTTAATTCATAAATGTTTGACACGGGGACATATTTCATTATAAAAATAGGAAAAGTATAGTGTAATAAATAATCTTAATTTGGATAGAAATTCAGGTAGGAACAACTTGGTATTTTTGTTTGGGAAAAGTACACAACTACACAATATTAAGAATATAATACTTGTGAAAAAGCTTCAGAAATTAGGTGTTAAATTTGTAGCCATTTATAATGACAAATTTTTAAACATTTTTATTTTCTGCAAAATGTTTTTCTTTTTTCCATTTTTGTTAGAAATAAACAAAATCCAATATACAAAATGTAATTTTACAACAAATTGTAAATGCACCCTAAATGAAAGGTGTATTTTGTAAATTTTCCTTCCTAGAAATGTAATGTTGTTTAAGACATTAAGAGAATGAAAATACTTATTAGAATTACGAGAACATTGAAAAATTTAAGTAGTAGTGCGGAATCAAACTCAATCGAATGGTTCGGTTCCATAACTAAAGCAATATTCAACGGTTCCACTTGACAGATTCAGTTCGATTCTTGGTTAATTCTTGGTTCAGTTCGATTCTCTTTGAAATCGAATCGAACCAGATTGTGATCAACCCAAAGTATTGGGGCCTATGTTTGGTCCGCATTAAAATCAGATTTTAATCTAAGTAAAAGTCAAACAATCAAGATTAATATCTTTCATAGGTTCCACAACTTTTCAACTACACATTTCAAACACTTCTATCACAATCTACTAAAATCTAATTTAATCCCCACCAAACACCCTCTAAATTTTACGTAAGTGCCAATTGATTTAAGTTTTTTACTTCTATAGCTCAAATTAAAAATGAATTATTCTCCTTGTCCAGGGCTAAAAACAGAATGGGAAAAAACAGGGTTATGTGGCAAGTGTTGATTGAGTGTTGATTTTTTTATTTTCAAACTGCTCAATCGTGCGCCGAACATGTGGCGCACCTGTTTTTGAATATGTTTTTCACCCTGTCCCTATAGCATGTTTGTTCACCTATAGACTTAACTATTATTAATTCTATCTAATGTAACGTATCAACTCTGTCATCATTTTTTCAAAAACCACGTTTTCTTTTATTTAATGCTCCTTCTTATATTCTGGTTTATTTTTCTGGAGAAAAGTATAAGACGTGAAATTAGATGATGGCATCAAGTCTTCGCTATACCAATTTATTCTCTCTCTCTCTCTCTCTCTCTCTAATATGCATAATATATTTAGTTGATGATGGTACTAGGAATTAAATAAGTGTACATATAATGAGAAGGTGTGACACGTGGCATGATGTGTGGTAATTATTGGGCATGAAGAGGGAGCAGTGAGAGGTGTGAAAAGTGAAGAGGTTATAGGATTTTAGTTGGCAAGAGAGTGATGTAAGCGTTAAGTGCGAGCCAAGGTTAGAGGTTTGTTAGAGAGCGAGAGAGAGAGAGAATATATTTAGGACGGATTGAAAAAGGATTAGATATGATATTGGAGAGAGAAATCCGATCTTCGAGTAATTAGGTTTATAATATTAACACGTTTAGTATTACATATTCAATAAAATTGAACGTAGTAACATAATACACAAGGAAGAGAGGAATTTGATATATGTGACATACGTTTATGACATATTTAAGTATTTTGGATTGAACTGTTTTAGAGATAATAACTTTAAAGAAAAGTGCCAGAGTAATTGACTTTATAAAATGAATATCTATGACACGTATATCATTATAAATGGGATAAGATTGAACTTGAGTGTACACACAACAAAAGGGGTGGAGAATTCACCTAATAATTGGCCTTATAAAATGAATATTCGCCGCATATTTAGTATCATGGGTCTAATAGGACTCGCCATGACAACAACAAATTCAATTGCCTGAGGATTATTTTCTTTTGGAGGAAACACTGATCTTGGATTATTTCTAATTTTATAAATTAGCTATGGATTAAGCCACTTAATGAGATATTTAGATTTTAATTTTTAGCATATAATGGTTGAAAAAGTTCGAGAGCATTTGCTCTAGAATTAAGATTCCTCCCGTTGAAAAAGGGGAGTTGCACGGGCCATTCCAGCCCAGCATAGGCCAAAAAACACGACACGGCCCACTTAGCGCAGAACTAGAGCCCTCTCGTCGAAAGATCTAGTTCAAGTAGTTTTCAATACGCAGGCTAAGAGCTAGAACACATAACACTAGCATAATGCACTATTCCCTGTGAATGTATATGATCATCAAATGTGGAAAAACTTCCACCCCTTTCATTTAGTCTCGCTCTTGTACACTCCAGGGTCGGATATATAGATTGAAAACAACGATTTCAGCACGTACACGAACATATATATAAATATAAATATATATATATATACAGAAATGATCTAATGAGCACCGGTGCTCATCTTATNAGAGAGAGAGAGAGAGAGAGAGGGTAACCAAGTCCATTATTAATATGAAGGGATAACACTGATAATAAAACTATAGATCATTTGGACTAAGTGATACAGTGCAGAAAGATAACCAGACAACCACAACAATTTAACAATTCCCTGTACCTTCACATCACACATTCACTTTAACCAAAAAAGAAAAATAAATAAATAAATATTTAACTGCAATTCAATCACCTGAAGTGGACATTTCAAGTGTCGACTACTACTGTAATTCTATGGTCCCATTCCTTCTCTAAGAAAATTTTGCTATTAGCTTATCAACGTGAATTATAATATCATCGATGCAAGGTCTAACTGTTGCGTGAGGCCGCAGCATCCATGTCACGAACTGGTGGAGTGCGTCTGGATATGGAGGATTAGGGCCATTTGGCCACTTTATCTGGGCGTTTACGATGGCTAACTGTAGGCTCCCACCAGATTCCCCGAGTGCATATTCAAATGGAGATACACCATACCTATGAAAAGCAGCCATAAGTAAAGCATGGAGAAAATAAAGAACGAAATAATTGAAAAACAATGGAAGCTGAAGAGAAAACATGACTCTACATGTGAGAGGAAAACTCATTTTAAGACATGCATGTTTGGCTAAACTTAAAAATAAGTTAAAATTACTATTACTTTTTTGTTTCCAAACATGTTTACATAAGCTATTTTTTCTTCAAGTAAATAAAATTACTTGTTTTAATAGCCTCTTACTTTAGCCCTTGTTTGGTACGTATACTTTAAAACTCATTTTCTATCATACATAGTTTTGCACGAGAACCCAGTAAATTTTCCATACTTTTTAACCACACATTCCCCAAAAATATCACTTTTCACAAAATCTATTCCCAGAAAATCTACGGCAAAGAGGCCCTTAGTTTCAAAATAAGTAACTTACTGCAAAATCAGGCACCGAAAGAAAAATTAGTTTAAGAAAAAGAGGGAGGAAAAAAAAAAAACAAGGTTCATGTGCTAGAAGTTGGAAACATCGTAATCAGTAGCAGTAATCATTGCCAGAAAATTTTACAATATTTCTCTTTTTTCTAGGTATAACAAGATCATCTGTTGAAAATTAATGCCTAGTGGTTCCCACTAATTGCTAAATATTCATATAGTTTAACCATAACGCTAAAGTTAGAAAATAATGTAATTGTGAAGGATCAACAAAGGAAATGAAAAGTGTTTTCCAACGACCATAATACTTTTTTATACTGCATTTTACATGGTCAAGTCAAATTTCTGTCAGGTTCATAGTTGTTGATTTGGAAGACTTGTATACTCGACTATTTAAGTACAACCATAAGCTAATGTAAAAATAATATTTAATCAATCTGTATAGTATACTACTTTTGGTGTTCTAAATTTTCACAGGGCATATCAGAGTAGATTCATTAAACATATATATGCTAGTGATAAAAAATTTCTAAGTTTGAAAAAGAAAATTCATTCCATAATGCAACAGGAGACATTCATTTATGAAATCATACTTTAGTTAACTACCATATAAATGGTTCTCACTTGCAGTGATGCTGGTGTATAATAAGATTCCCCCTTTTTTCCATGATCACCAAAAATCATAAATGACAGATGGATTAACAAGATAACAGCCTTAAATAAGAAACTAATTATTTGAAGCAATGTGGACACTTCTTACATGATTGCAAACAATGTGCAGCCTAGCGACCAGATATCAGTTCTCTCATCAATATCTGCATGGCTTGGGCAATCCCATAATTCAGGAGCTCGGAAAGGTGCCGAACAGTGCTCAGAAGCCCATTCCTACATAAGGAATAACCAGAGGTCAAATTAAAAGCACCCTTGGAAATGCAAAACAGACTTATTTGGAATGTGGACCATGCACATTGGACTTGCTCAAAATACAACTAAAGGAATGAACTCAAAAATGTTACGTCACATGCTGAAGCCACAAATTAGATGTAACTGTTACTAATTTACAAAATCAAACTTGACGCACATCCAATGACAGAAAAGTAAGATAATTTACACATTAATACCTGCAGCTGTAATGCTTCAGCACGCGACCGAATCTGCTTTCTTGCAGGACGAGAACTTCCAAAGTCCATCAATATTGCTAAAGGCGATTGTCCCTTTCTG